AGTTTTGGGATAGTTACACGATGAAATTGTGTGTGTGGACGCTTACTAACTATACGTCGTATAACGAAACGTCGTATAACGAAACGATGCCTAAACATGCGTTTCGTTCGACGTTTAAATAATCCCGCCTAATCACGCCTAATCACGAAATATGTTGTGTGTGGACGTAACTAGTATAACTAGTCGAACTAGAACGATATAACTGGGCGGGGCTTAATGCGATCTCGAGCGAAAGGAGACCTGACCTCTCATTTCCGCTTCCATTTCATGATTGCAATAGCAAACTGCGCACCTATACGACATTTCGATGTAGAGTTTCAGGATTACTTTCTTCTGTGTGTAATGTGTGGACATCCTGGAATTTATACGATGATTCTTTATACGACGTTTCATTACAGAGTTTCTGGATAAATTGTTTTGTGTGTGGACACGCTGTCAATTCAATGATACATGCTACTGTGACTGTGCAAGTCATCTTATTCAATATTATGTAATATTAAACAAAACATAATAAGGACTGTACAAGCGAGAGAGGAGAAAGGTTTCATGTAGTACATGCATACAATTGAAGAAGAAAGAAACTAGATGGAATTCGACTGCGCGCAGTCGAAAATGATGCCTCCGTTAAAGAGCAATTTTACAAACCAAAACAGAAAAAAAAAATTGAATTCACGTTCAATGGTAATCCATTGACAGGTTCTCAGAATATTGTGATTACAAGCAATTTCTCATATACATATAAAAATATGACCCTTTGATCTTTGACCTCATGACCATAAAATCTACTCAGTTCATTGGCTCTGCAAGATGTTCTGAGTTAAATAGTAATCCATCTGTCAGTTCTAATGAGAATGCGTTCACAAGCTATTTTTGCATACATAATGGGCCCATGACCTTTGACCTTATGAACCAAGAATCTACTCAGTTCATTGGCTCTGCAAGTAACAAACATGACCTAATTTTGGCATGAATCCATCAATCGGTTCTTGAGATAACGCGATCACAAGCTGTTTTTGCATTCATAATGTGCGCTGTGGCCTTTGACCTTTGACCTACGTGCTCCAAAATCTAATCAGATCGTCTTCCTATGGTGATACACACTATCACTAAGTTTGAAGTTTAAATCTCCAGTGGTTCTTGAGATATCATGATAACAATCTCAATGTATGGAATTTCATAAGTTGACCTCTGTGACCCTTGACCTTTGACATACGTGCTCCAAAATCTAATCAGATTGTTTTCCTATAGTGATACACACTATCACTAAGTTTGAAGTTTAAATCTCCAGTGGTTCTTGAGATATCATGATAACAATCTCAATGTATGGAATTTCATAAGTTGACCTCTGTGACCCTTGACCTTTGACATACATGCTCCAAAATCTAATCAGATCGTCTTCCTATGGTGATACATACTATCCTTAAGTTTGAAGTTTAAATCTCAAATGGTTCTTGAGATATCGCGCTAACAAACTCAATACAAGGAATTTCATAAGTTGACCTCTGTGACCTGTGACCTTTGACCTACGTACTCCAAAATCTAATCAGATCGTCTTCCTATGGTGATAAATACTATTCCCGAGTCTTAAGTTTAAATCTTAAATGGTTCTTGAGATATTGTGATAACGGTCAAACGGGACGGACGGACGGACGTACGGACGGACGGACGTACGGACGTACGGACGGACGTACGGACGTACGGACGGACAACCCGAAAACATGATGCCTCCGGCACCACCTTCGGTGGCGGAGGCATAAAAACATAATTAAACCCAAGGGAGGTGGGGGGAAGTGGGAGATATAATATAACAAAGCACAAGAAATGAAGAGATACAAAAAAGAAGAGATACAAAAAAGAGGAGATAAGAAGGAAAAAAGGACATTTCAAAAGGAAAATATACATGTATTCAGTAAAGGGGAAGTCTGTTCTTTGCACACATCTCTTTGATTTGAGACTTATTATAAAGGTATGGGTGTTGGTAGCTTGATGGCTGTACCGAGGTCAAACTGAATTTCTGGAATCTAATTATTATAATTTATGCCCAGATGGAATAGGGCAATAGTGGACAAAGCAAAAAAGCTGACCTTTTCTGTCCCTCCCCCTCTCTATTTAACTGGTCGGCCAGATATGCTTGACCACTAAAGCAATTACACTAGACTTGACCTGGGGGTCTAGACTGGCTGGAGAAAGCTGAGGTCAATCTAGCTAGACTCTGGTCTGAAATTATGCAGGTACTTACTGTACATGAACTGCTTCCTCACTCAGGACAGGCCGGACCTTACCCCGTTCACATGCGAGGTATAATCCAGTCTGATCCTATCCAAATGTCTGGAAGAGTGTGCCTCATATCGTCCACTCTGGACAGACCAAACCTAACTCTGTTCACATGCAAGGTATAATGCTGTCGGATCATATTTAAATGTTTGGAAAAGTGTGTGTTATATCGTCAACTCTGGACAGACCAAACCTAAACCTGTTCACATAAGAAGTATAATCCAGTTTGATCCTATCTACATGTCTTGAACAGTGCACTTCATGCATCTGTTGAGAGCCAGGATGACATTAACTCTAAGCAAATGTATGTTTTAATGTCCTTTTGGATTCCAGCAGACAATCTGATCATACACCTCCCAAACTGACCCTAAATCTGGGCAAGAATAAAAATAATCTTGGCATCACTGGGATACATCTGAAGGAAAAGTCTATTCTTGTATTTCACAGTTTTCACTCCATAAATCATTTACACATCTTATCTTTTCTTGAACATGAATTGAACACTTCTACTGTGCACTCTACCGTAGGGAAAAGTATGTGCTCGATTCTAAAATGAAAGGGAGTGACTTCCTATAAAATACTCCTATACAAAATGTTTGATGTGGCGTGTGCATATGAAGGAAGGGGTATCTTTGTTCTTTTCTTCTTTTCTTTTCAATGGGCAACTGACCTCATCGTCTGGACAGAGCTTAAGGCTAGATATGGTCAGTCCTTTGGTCAGTCTATCTCGCTACATCACAATGGACAAAGCAAGGTTCACAGCACTATCTAGCGACTTATAGTCATTGATTTTGCATTTGTAAATCCAAAGAGCATAATGTTAGGGGGGGGGGATGTTCAGCGATAGGAATATCATTGTTTTTACAATTTTCCACATTTTGCTGTTCCCTTTCCCTTTTGACGAGAGAAGCAGTGACATTGCAGATACCACCTACAACTGGTTGTCATATAACAAATCTGGGGGGTGTTTCACAAAGATCCTAAGTTGAACTTATCTCTAAGTTGGACTTACAAATTATGGAAAGCCATTAGCATCTGTGAAAATATTTTGTAAAAGTTATTTTGAAAGGCATTACTTCTTTATTCAAATCATTCATATTTTCTATCATCAAGGAGATTTCATGTTCTGGATGTGGAATTTATAAAAAGTCTAAAATACTTGAATTTCTGCTTTTGAATATATTTCATTTTAAGACTCCAATGGCTGTCCATAATTTTTAAGTCCAACATAGAGTTAAGTTCTACTTAGGATCTTTGTGAAACACCCCCCTGGAGCGATATTCTGAAAATGTTGTATCTCAAATATTTTTGTATCTTAATTCACCACTAAAACAAAATTGTCATTCTGAAAATTCTTCCAACTTTCCTTGTAACTTTTCTTGCATCTTTACTTTAATTTCTTAACCCTACGCCCAAATATTGTGTGTTACAAATTACAATCCTCATTAACATAATGCGCACAAGATAATATCATGAGAAAATAGGTATTCTGGAAATTATTGCATCTTTTCTTTTATCTCATCTTCCATGGTACAAATAACAAGAGTATATTACAACAGGGTAGAGGCTATTGTATCTCATGATGAAGGAAATTTTTCTAGTTCAGCATCGGCAATATACATGCTCAAGCAGCAACGAGGAGGCTTTGTGCGACTGAAGATCTTACAGAGGAAACATTTCAAAGAAAATACAGACCGGAGATACATGTAGATTATTTCATATAAATGTGTGATTTAATTGATTCAAGCAGGAGATGAGAAACCATTTTGTTGATTAATTACAGTCAACAGCACCCAGCGTATTATATATGCGCGCAATTTATTAATTACACCACAAAATGCATCCTTCCCTTTTTATCTAAGGGGTGCTCCTATCGGTTGACCTATTTGTATTATTATCTACTTTGATTAGTATAATCCCAAAATTGGGCGTGTCAAAGGTACAATAGAGGCGCAGCTTCCAGAGATAATCAAATGCTAAGACAATTGTCAGAATACCAACTTATAGTAATGTTAGCGCTCTATCATCTTCCGAAGAGACAAGCAAATTGACAAGAAAACTTAAATGAATTTTTGACATACCAACCCAGCTCAGGTTGTTACATAATAATCTTATATGTTCCTACTGCAGTTCTAATCCACATAGTTAGATTATAGGATGTACACTACATAATAGTCTGTTTGCAGTCTGTCTGCTACAAATTATATCACTAACTTGAAGCCAAACCCAGCAGCAGTAATTTAGGTCTCTTCGCCGAACCTCTTAGTACATTCGATCAAGTTAGCAAGGATGTATCCACAAAGACATTTTGTTGTCTAAATCATTCAGATCCAAGATACGCTTTCAAGGGAATATATATATATATATATATAACTATTTCTTTGGAATAACTTTTGAGTATCAAGTACTGACCCATTGTGAACGATAAACAGGTTTTGAAAGGGCACCTGTGATGAACGTTCCTGAGCTTGAAGGGAGTTTTTTTTTTACTGGAACACTCCAACAATCATGACAATTGTATACTTCACTTGTTCTTCAAAATGTTTACCCAATCAACCCTGTCTAATCCAACATAGAATATATTAGGTATCACTCAAAAACTTAATATAACACAGATTATGTAGATCAATGTTCTCTATTACATCAAACATATATGTAGTCTAAAAAAGCAACAATATCTCTTCTAAGATAATGATTGATCACAAAATCAAATAAGCATAACTTACCTTTTCGGATAACTTTGCTGCATTCGGGAGCCCTAAAATAACCCTCATGTTTCTAATTAAGCAACAGTTTGTTCAAATCAGACGAAATTCTTTTAGTCTCAAAGATGCCGCAATTATTCCTGGACGACACACAATTATCACTATTCCTAAATATTTGAAGCTTATAATGCCATGGTTATCACAATTGCAAGTTATCAAAACATGTCATTTCTACAGAAATGGAGGATGAAGTTAACGTTCTCGCTACAGCTTCAGTGCATCTATCACGATTATTTTTGAAGGCTGCGAGATAATACTTCTCTCTTTCCGGATTCGGTACAATAACAAGTTGTCAGATGATGATTTGAGAATCTTCCAGATGTGGTTCTATCACCATCAATGAGATCACATGTGATGAGGAAGTGGGTTGGTTTAGACAGAGGGTAGATGGCTATATAGATGATTGAACACCTACAACAAACACAATGCACAGATCGGAACTGAATCGTATGATTCTAGCTACATATCCAGGAACCTGGTTGCATGCCCCCAGCGAATATATTGGGGCATTATGCTAAAGAATCTTCACGGTATATATCTGCTTGAGCTGAGCCTCGACTGTATGCAGCAGGCGATGAGCTGAGGTGACAAGGAGCAACAAATTTTAGCAGGCAATGGCAAGGCTGATGGAGCTTTTCTATTTAACAGCTAGGTTTTGTTTGAGCTACCTATAATTTGTAGCAGACAGACTGCAAAGCTAGCCAAACTGAGAGTGACCTTAGAAAAGCGGTTCAATACATCATCCTGTGATATGAGAAGGGACCGGCCATGTAGACTTGCTCTGAACCTCCAACACTGCCGCTGCTGCGCACAGCTGATAAATATACACACATGTACACACAGTTCGATCACTCACATTCGCGCTCCAGACTGTGCGTAGACACAGCACAGCAACCAGGCTTAAAACAGACACACTTCGGTGAGCCCTAGACATGTATGCAGTCACATATGGGGATGGCCTTGTCCTAGTCTCTCTTTCAGAATCACCAGAGTATTTTTCTTCTTCACTTTTTGACACTCTTGATCTTCTTCGAACTTCATGACTTAATATATCTGAGATAGAATATCATGTCCCAGCATCCCAGCTTAGTATCATTCTACATGCAGACAATGTGATCATCTGAACCTTATTAAAGGTCGTTGGCAATAAAATACAAGAATATGACAATTCTTAAACTGCCTGGTAGGTTTACCGGTACCTACATGGATGCCTGGCATGTATCACCAACTATAGGATTTTACAATATTGATAATTCAATAGCACTTTAAAACTTTACAGCTCTAAAGTCTAATACTAATAGCCCGTTCAAAGTCTAGGAAATTTATACAAAACAAATAGAATAAACATTGTACAAAGAATCATTGTATATTGAAATGAGGGATATACAAGCTAAAAAACATTGTGTAAAGAAACAAATTTTGTAGAGGTCAATTGACATGAGAGCTGGTCAATCATTAGTGCCTGCAAGCTAAGATAAGCTCAATAACATACAAAATACAAGTTATATACAAATTTCATACTTTACATCACTGAGACTAGATCAGTGAGACGATGATTCCATGTGTTTGGCAATGAAACAACGTTTCTCTACACAAAATTTCTCTGTAGAACGTTGTGACAAGAAAAAAAGGTAATTAATTACTTCTCATATAGCCACACAATGAACTCTGGTAGTCTGATAGTGGGGTCAGGCCTATATCCAATGACAGGGAATAATTTTCCTGGTATCGCATCGCAATTTGCTATGCATTTTTGCATGACTGCTATACAAAATATCTTTTGTGTAGCAGTTTTCTTCCATAGAAATGTACAGAATTTCATTTGAAATATTTATCCATCGGCTGAAATTGCTAATCAAAAAATTTGAGGAAAATTATTCCCTGAATGAACTTGGGAATATATGCCTTTATAGACCCAACAAGGTTAGGATGCTACTGCAGCAGCTTGCATGGGTTTTGAACCTTGAACCTACCAGTTGATACCAAGATTATTCACTGAGCATCACATTAAAATGTTGAAAAGGGTAATCGAAATTAAATGAAATTAAAAGCAAGTTAAAAGAAGGGAGAAAGAAGATTATATGAAGGAAAGGTATTATTGTTAGCTCACATGTCTATAAGCAGGGCTGTCAACCCTCCCGCATTTGGAGGGAGTCTCACGACACCACACGCATTCTCCCGCCGTCCTACCCGCTCGTAGTGGGAGACTCCCGCCACCACGCCCTTCCTCGCTCTCCCGCTTCGATGTAGAATCTCCCAGTTTATGAAAAAACCTTCTGCCAAACATGGTAATCACAATTTTCCTTTTTTGTGTGTGCTCACAGGAAGGGTGGGGAGGGGGGGGGGGCAGGGGTAGTGAGCACTAAAAATTAAAACCTTTTTATTGTTTTTTTAATCAACACCACAACCCCCCCCCCCCCTTCCCCACTGAGCAAAAAAAAAAGATCTCCCTCGAAGTGGCTCCCCAAAGTTGACAGCCCTGATATTATAAAGTGACTGTAAGTATACATTTTCTGTTGTTGGTACATGTGCGTTCTATGGCACAATCATGCATTCTTTTTTTCATGACATAATCATAATCATGCCAATAATCTCAGAATGTGATATTGACCAGGTCTTATCATATCAACTGGCTAAATGGTGACTGTGGTGACAGATAAGGCTAAAATGAAAACTAAAAATAACTTGACAGTCTTGAAATCAGACTGGACTCTCTTTTCCACTCTATTATAAAAATTATTCACAGACAGCACATTTAGAGCAGCTCCTGAAACAGCTGATGCTAGTCTCATTAATCAGACCCTTAAAGCTAAAGACCAGTTATGGTCATGCGATTGCATTGCGAAAGAAACATTGCGAAATCGATCAGAAAAGGTTGATCATCTAGCATAGATGTACTGCGAGGTTCTGGAATCATCAAAATGATAAGAAATTTGGCCAAGTCTTCATAAATTTAGAATCACTGTACACAGAAAGATGTATATGGGACTACACACACGTGCGCGACACATGCATTTGTATCTCTCAACAGGCGAGAGATACACTAATTTACCAAATATATCAATTAGTAGGCGGTTTCCCCGTCAACATTTTTATCATCATGTATTATTCAAAACATATTCTTTCACATGATTGGTAATAAGAGCTTGCATTTCATTTTTTGAAGTTGGGGCGTTTCCAATACTGGTCTTTACCTTTAAGTATGGATACTTCAATTCAAATCAATATCAAATCAACCCAAAATCACATATTCTCTGATTTTCTTTCCTTGAAATTTTTTTATGGCCAATTGTTTAAAAAAAATTAAAAAATTAGTTAAGCTCTTGCCATATGGGGTATCTCCATGTATATATTCAAAAGGTAGGCTGTGTATCTATCGACTAAAAAATGGAGACGTATGATTCACTGTAATAATCCATGTACATGTTGAATGAAAACAACACTCTTTCGAATGTCCCACCCCATGCTCCTACATTATTCCTTTAAGAAAATTTTGACTAATTAAACTCTCCCCTCCAAACTAAAAAAATTTACCACTATTTTCTTTGAGGGCCGGAGGGGTAGGCGGGGCCCATTATAGAAATATTCCTGTATCAAGTTTGAAATCTGGCACCCGTTTTTTAGGGGTAATTGGGGTCATTGGCAATCTTGAAGGAAAAATTGGTCCCCCCCCCCCCCCCCCACCTTCAATGAAAGTTAGCCTTTATCTAGCAATGCCCCTGTACAAAACATGGGTATAAGAATCAGATCACCTCCAGCAAATTAGCTACCTGTCACATAAGAGATGAGAAGCTGAGAGTGAGACTAGTTTCCCTCCTGCCATCCAGACAGTCAATAACACCTTAGCTTAGGGAGCTCTATTATGCAATATGTACAGTCTCAAGGTCCCATAGTGGACAATCAAACTCAGACCTCTTTAGTTGACCAATGCATTGTCTGTGACCTTGCTTGCACTGACCAGCTAGTAGTCTCCACGCACAGACCCTGTGTCAAATTAGTCTGCAAGCACAGACTCTAATTTGACACTTTACCACAATTTCTAAAGCATCTAGCAGAGCAGTGCAAATCAGCTAAAGTACAAGGCCTATTGCCATCAGCTTAGTCTCACATGCAGACACAGTTATGCACAGCCACTGACAAGGGATAATATCTATGTACTAACCAGAGAGCTCTCAGAAGTATTATTTTCTTATGACTATGTCTGTCTATGAGTATTGATTTTTATACCGTTAGTCTCTATCTTCAGTCTACATTTCAACGTAATTCAATTTTTTTTTCAATTCAATTTTTTTCTTCAATTCAATGAATACCTAGCTATATATTCTCGAAGCAAACATAATGAGAGGCCTACAGATTACATAAATTCATCATCATCATGTCTAACTATACCGAGCAACCCTATAAATCAAGTTTCAATAGTTTGTAGAATCGGGAGAATGACCTCAATGAAAGTACTCCTATAAATGATTATGCAATTAAATTTGAAGGTTGTGAATTAATGTGAATGCACCCAAAGCAATGATGTGAATGAATATAAAGCAATCCAGTGATTCAATCTGAACATAAAGGCTAGTTGTGTTTACACCATAAAAAAATACCCAAGTTTCTTGCGAAGGTAAAGGAATTTTTAAATCTTTTTTTTTTTAATCTACTATTGACATATCCTCAACATTTCGTGAATACAGACACCAACAATGAGAGCATGGTATGTTCTTTTCCAAAAGTCATTTACCTTCACACTAATTACTGGCTGTAATTATAGGCCTACACAGGAAACAAAGCAGAAAGGAATTAATGAAGAAATCAATGTATAATGAAGACAAAAATCAATAAATAAAGAAATCTGTTTGCATACTGTATACATGCATGTGAATTACGCCAACATACCGAGGTAGAGTAGCAAGGATTCAATTTGTGGGGGAGGGGTGTGTGTGTGGGGGGGGGGGGGGAGGGGAGGGGTGCATGGTCTCACTACATAGGCCTTCATGTAGGTGGATAATATGAAAAAGAGATTAACAGGAGAATGAATGCCCAATCAATGCCCCCTACCCCCCCCCCCCCCCCTCTACACTCGGGCATCATGTTCCCATCCAAGCCAAGGCAAGGGGTTGCTGATTCAAAGAAAATGAAGAGCCTTATTTGGCAAGTAGGTGTCAGTGCACTTTATACTCGCAGTTTATGGACAAGTTTCATGAGCCTTTATATGCAAGGTTATATAGATATATCCGATTTTCAAAAGGAAGTGTCAATTTTATGAATAACATCAAAGTTAAGTAACCCTATAAAATATTGCTAAAAATAGGCCAACCTACACCATTTGCTGATAGAGAAGGGCACCATCTGAAATAATGTGGGCTACACGCAGTAAGTACATAACAGAAAAATGTACCCCCCCTTTCATTTTGGACCAAACAAAAGAAAAAGGCACCTGAAAAATATATAACCCTTTTTCTTTTTTTCTTTTACTTGTAAGATATATTCTTAAATTAATTATTCATGTTTGTATTTATTTCATTTTAGGGGATAATTTGTCATTGTGAGTATACCACCCATTTTGTTTTTTATTGTCAGAAATTCCACCCCCCCCCCCCCCATTTTTAGAAGATCCTGACTCCACCTATGCCCTACACAAGTGACTGTCTGAAATGGTACCAGGAACCCTTACAACATTTACTGGTCTGTGTTGACAACTAAAGTGCATCAGCCTTCTAAGTTCTTTTGAGAGAGGATTAAAAGAGTTCATTCAATACAGTGCACCACTTTAAAGCTAATCATGACTTCGAGTATGGCTGTATGGGAATCGTTTTTGAAGAGAACATGGCTATAATTCATTCTGGATTGTTCATCCTACAGTAGATTGTTTGTTTGATTATTTGAACCACTAAAATAAAAACAAACTCACAAAAACTTGCTGGAAATAATCTTCAATAAAAACCACAACTCTCATTTGCACATACATGTATTACTCTTTTCACACTTGTTTTGCTTAGCCCCGTACTATCCTTAACCCCGGACTAAATTTGTTGGCTTTTCTCACTGC